TCTCTTATCCTAGGATATATTTTCCTTCTTGTTTGCATATTTGTTTTTTTCCAATATTAAATTTTTATCAAGATATATTTCATATACCATAAAACACACCTTTTTAAAGTGTACAATTCAGTGGTTATCGTGTATTCACAAAGTTGTACAATCATTATCACTATCTAAATTCCAGAACATTTCAAGATCTTCAACAAGAAGCCCTATATCCTTAAGTAGCAATTCCCCATTACCTCCTCTCAGCCCCTGGCAACTACTAACCTACCTTCTGCCTCTATGAGTTTGCCTATCTTAGACATGTAACATAAAAAGAATCATACAATATGTGTTATTTTTGTGTCTGGCTTCTTTCATTTAGTATGTTTTCAAGGTCCATCAGTGTTGGAACATGTATCAGTACTTCATTCTTTTTTATGGCTTAATAATATTCCACTGTATGGATTTAACACATTGTATGTGTCCATTGATCAGTAGATGGACATTTGGGTTGTTTCTACTTTGGGGGTACTGTGAATAATGCTACTATAAACAATCATGTACAAGTTTCTACATGAGTATGTTTTCAATTCTCTTAGGTATTTACACAGAAGTAGAATTGCTGGATCACATGGTAACTCTATGTTTAACTTTTTAGAGAACTACCAAACTGTTTTCCAAAAATGTTGCACCATTTTACATCCCCACAAGCAACGTATGGGGTTCCAATTTCTCCACTTGTTATTGTCTGGGTTTTTTTTATTATTATTATAGCTAACCTAGAGGATGTGAAGTGGTATCTCGTGGTTTTGTTTTACATTTACAAAATGACTAATGTTGTTGAATATCTTTTCAGGTGCTTATTGGGTACTTGTATGTCTTCTCTGGAATAATGTATACTTAGATCCTTTACCCATTTTTAAGTTGGGTTATTTATCTTTTTGTTATTGGGTTGTAGGAACTTTTTATATACAAGTTACCATTCTAGATACAAGTCCCTTGTCAGATATATAATTCACAAAAATTTTCTCCCATTCTGTGGGCTGTCATCTCATTTTCTTAATGGAGTCCTATGAAGCTCAAAAGTCTTTAATTTTGATGCTCTCCAACTCAGCTAGTTTTTTCTTTTATTGCTTGTGTTTTTCGTGTCATCCAAAAAACCATTGCTAAGCTAAGATTACAAAGATTTGCCCCAAAGTTTTCTTCTCAGGGTTGTATGGAGTTTTAGTGCTTACATTTAGATCTTTGTTTCATTTTGAGTTAATTTTTGTATATGGTGGGAGGTAGGGCTCCAAATTCATTCTTTTGCATATGGATTATGCACTTGTCCCACTATTGTTTGGTAATAAGATTATTCTTTGTACATTGAACTGTTTTGGCACTCTTGTTAAAATTAATTGACCATAAATGTATGGGTTTATTTCTAGACTCTACTAAATTTTATTGCCCTATAGGTTTATCCTTATGATAGTAACACATAGCCTTGATTATTGTAGTGTTATAGTAAGTTTTGAAATTGCAAACTGCGAGTCCTGCAACTCTGATCTTTTTAAAGATTGTTTTGGTTATTGTGGGCCTCTTGTATTTCCAGATGAATTTTAGGATAAGCTTGCCAATGTCTAAAAAAAAGCCAGCTGGAATTTTGATAGGCATGCACTGAGTCTGTAGAACAACTTGGGAAGTACTGCTAATTAATAATATGAAGCCTTTTAATCCATGAACATGCAATGTCTATTTATTTAGGTCAATTTAATTTCTTTCAATGATGTTTTACAAATTTCAGTGTACAATTTTGTTTTGCTTCTGTTCATTTTATTCCTAAGTATTTTGTTACTTTTGATGTTATTATAAATGATTATTTCCTTAATTTTATTTTCAGATTGTTCATCGCTAGTATATAGACATACAATGAAATTTTATATATTGATCTTGTATCCTGCAACCTTGCTGAACTCATTTATTAGATCTATATTTTTTGTATACGGATTCCTTAAGATTTTCTGTATACAAAATTATGTTATTGGCAGATAGAGTATTTGTCTTCTTCCTTTTAAATCTGGATGCCTTTTATTTCCTTGAACCTTCAGTACAATGTTGAATAGAAATGGTGAGAGCACAGATCCTTTTCTTGTTAGGTGTGCTATTACCAGCTCTTCCTAGGGCCAGCCAAGCAAAATGCCCTCTTTTAAGTCCCAGCTCACCTCAGAGCAGGCTGCAGTGAAACAGTCATTCATATCATGAGAGATATAGGTACAAACTACTTGCAAAGGATGCTAAGACTTCTTTGGAGAGGTCTTTGTCATGCTCATCATTCTGAATAGCTCAGATAAGTCTTCTCTCAGGCTTTTTTTTTAAAACCTATAATCCTGTGTCCTCTCTTCTTACCTCTGGGTGTTGCTTCCTCTCTCCCCTTTGCTCATCTGAAAAATTTGTCCTCAAGATCACTTTTGCAGTGTGCTCTTATCAAACCTCTGCTAAGCTCTCTTTCTCAGAAGCCTAGGTCTTCTCTTTCATTTTCATTTTCTTCCAGTTCAAATCATTAATATATCCTACAGGAGAGAGAAACAGCTCTCTAGAAAACCAGTAGCCATCATGGATTCTGGTATTTTCTGGCACTATTCGCCATGTTAACTTGCCTACCACCTCCAACATGTACATACACACACTCTGCTCACACTCCACAGACATACCCCAGCGCACATATCACACAAACACAAACCATGTACCACAGTCCACACCTAGCACACACCACCACACACCCCACAACATACACTATACACACACATACACACCAGACACCATATCACACAAATCACACACATGCAAGCATGCATCACAGACTACATATAGCACAAACCATCACACATCTCACATATCACCCACGCCACACTACGTACATTACACGCATGTGTGCACACCTCCTATGATGTGTGTTTAGTGCAGCATAGAAAGTTACTCTCTTGTTTAACACATACCACTATGCCTGGAACCACTCTAGACACTCGAGATTCATCAATTAAAAACACAGACAAAACTCTCTACCGCTGTGGAATTTGCATTCTCATGCAGGAGGCAGACAATGAGCAAGATACATGAATAAAATATTCAGTAATAAGTGCCAAGGGAACAAAAGAGAGCACTGTTAGAGGGCTTGGGAGCGGGGGAGGGGTGCAGCTGTAAACTAGGTGGTCAGAGTAAGCCTGGCTGAGAAGAGACACCTGAAGGAGTTGAGGGAAGGCACCCTAGGGATATCTAAGGGATGACTGTTCCCCACAGAAGGAGCAGCCAGAGTCCAGGCCTTTTTAAGGAGACTCCAGTGGCCCACTTGCCATTCTGGGTCTTCAGCTTCCTACAGCCCAGACTCACAGGGTCAAGCCCAGCCTCACATACTGGAGGGGATGCATCCCCCATGGGGCAGCTCCGATTGGTCTCTCCCTAGGCTCACCTTTGGAGACCAAATCTCTGAAGCCTCATCTGCATCCCTCTCCCCTTTAAGACCTGCAGCTCTCTGTGTGAACCAGTCCCTCCTTCATGCAACAAGAAACAGGTGCAAGATGGGGCAGCTGTCACAAGACAGTCCCCATCATGAGGTTGAGGCTTTTGTCTTGCCTGTGTTGCCTGTAGTGGCAGTCTGTTTTCTTTTGGGCATTCACTAGCTTCCTTTTCCTGATCCTTTGACAGGACAAATTTGGGGTGAGCTGTGCCTACGTCCAGAGTCACAGCCACAACAATAAAGTCGTGGGAATCTGTAAGGGGTCATCATTAGATCAGGGATACAGGGGCTCGTTCTTTCTCTTCTGTCTGTGTACTGGTTGCCTCAGGAGTAGATCTGTCCTGTACTGTGTGCAGGGCCTGCTACCACAGGACATGCCTGAGAACGATGATTCAGTCACCTGGTGGCAAAATGACAGAAGGCTCTGTGGGCACCCAGGAGGATGCAGTGCTGAAGAGAGACTCCTGTTTGGGTGGGAAGAGAGGAACCTGTTTCACAATTTTGCCTCCAGACTGAGCTGCTGGACCAGCAGGACTGTGGCTGCACCCACCTCCCCCCAGGCTCCATCTGTGGGTCCGTTGCCCTGAGCACAGGCTTCCGTGAGCTTTCAAGGTCAGCAGCTGACCTGCCAAGCTAGGGGCCCAGAGTTAACCCCAGGCAGCTCTCAGAAGCCAAATTTAACTTCCCCTGCCTGTGTCCTCAGCCTTCCTTACTGGCTCCTTTGGGCCACTGCATATATTTATTTCCTAAGCAAACACTTATTGTGCACTTATCATAAATACCTCTTACACCTAAGGCTATAAATGTGGCAGGGTCTTATTTATTTATTTTTGGCCCATTAAATAATAACTCTAAATTGGGTAGGGGCAGTATTTTTGCTCTCACTTTGAACTGCAGAGGCTGGAGCTGAGGCAGCAAGTACTCAACCCCAGACCCCACAGTCTCTCCTGCACGTTGCAGGTGATGGCCCCCAGCTGAGGCCACTCCCTGCTGGGCCATTAGTGGCTCCCGTTTGCTGTCCTTGGCGCCTGACTCTGACTATTGATAAGTATTTGAATCTTGCGGAGGGATACCGAGGAGGAAAATGAGACACAGTATCAGGACAGAAAAGAATGGGAGAACGGCTTGAGCAAAGTCTCTGATACCAATGAGCCTTATTACTGTACCGCCCCCTCTTTTCACCACACCCTTCAGAGCAGTTCTAAAACAATCGGCGACTAAAAATAGTAAAACATAACATCAGCCAGAAAGGCTTATAAATCCCGAGGGGGTTGGTGGCAAAAGTAGACAGATCTCACGTCAGGGTCTGTGAACTCGGCAGACTTCCTGCTTTTAGATCCTCTGTGCTGGGGTCACAAAAGAGTTTACTGAACTATTAAGTTGTCCCTTCGTTTTATTGCTGTAAAAGAAAAATATTTTTCCTACTGTCTCCCCTCCCTTTCAGGACAAGCTGAGAGCAAAAGACACCGGCGATTTCACGAGCTTCCTCCCCGGATCTACGGGGCGCCACCTCCCACGGCAGTTTCACTTCTGCGTTTAGTCCAGTCTGAGTTAACTTCCTCACCCAGATCTCCGGAACCGGCAGCTACGGAGGGAGCTAGCAGTGCATATGTGCCTGCTGCATGGTGAAGCGAGTGGGAAGGGTCCAGGCCCAGGTTTTTTCGGTGGAGGGAAAAGAGACGTGTGTGTGTGTGTGTGTGTGTGTGTGTGTGTGTGTGTGCGTGCGCGGTGTGTGTGTGTGCGCGGTGTGTGTGTGTGTGTGTGTGTGTGTGGTGGGCGGCACGGGGAAGGGAGTTTGTTTCCTGATAACAGCTGCTGGAACTCTGAAAATGGTCAGGACTGTGCTTCATAGCTCTCACACCCTGTCTGCTTTCTCTTTCGCCAGACTCCATGTCAGATCTCCGAAGATCCAGGATGTGAGGTGAGTGAAGGCCCAGGACAGGAACCCTGGGGCCTCAGAGGAGGGGACGTCCTTCTCCCCGGGAGCAAAGCACCCCTGGCAGAGCGGAGCCTAGTGTATCGCTTGGGGGAGATAACCTGCCAAAGAATAGAAGTCTCCGGAAGAAATTCTCTACGGATCCAAGAGAGTGGTCCTGGTTATTCGAGGGACATAGCCTATCCAGTAACTTTAGTTGAATCCCTGCTTTTAATTCTGCCACTGTCAGTTCAAAGGAAAAGCCACTCTCTTCCTCCGTCCTCTGCTGCCCTCCCTGACAAAATCCCAGGAATGGGGAAGCAGGGAACAGGGCTAGGTTCACGAAGCAGCCGGAGCAGTGGGTGAAGGGACCGAGTCCTTTGTTCCTAGTCACCCCTCCTTTGTCTATTTGTTGTCAGGTCCTCGCTGGTGGACACTAGGTGTCCAGCACCCAGGATCCTACAGAGGCCCCACCTTCCCCATCTGCTTCCCACCTCCCCACATCCTGGGTTCTGCCAACCCCCTGTGTTCCAGTCACCCTGAACTTCTCCCGAGAGACAAGTCCTGGCCTGAAAAGAGAGATAGTCACTTCCCTAGCTCTCCAGGAGCTCTGCACCCCAGGACCAACCCCTTCTCTTCCCAGCTGTCTTTCCAATTCTCTTTTCCTCAGGTCAGGGAGGGCAAAAAGAACTTGCTGGTTTTTCTGGTTGTCTTTTTTACTTTCATTATCATCCTGGTTGGGTCTCCACTGGGGACTTTATTAACCTGGTGTCTTTTGTTCTTTGTGGGGTGGGAGTGAGGGTTTAATTAGAGTCAAATTTAGGGAATTCCTGGCGGTCCAGTGGTTAGGACTCCTCGCTTTCACTGCCCAGAGCTCGGGTTCAGTCCCTGGTCGGGGAACTAAGATCCCACTAGCTGAGGGGCGCGGCCAAAACAAACAAACAAACAACAACAAAAAATTAGAATCAAATGTGATTGTCTCAATGAAATCCTTCATAGACCACCCAGTTACCTGGGTTACCTGGATGTAAGTGTTACTACCAGTTACAAAGAAATAACTCTGGTACTAATTATTCTTAATATTCATTAGAGCAGGAAAGAGTTTGACAATCCCTCACTGAGTTCTCGCTCTTGCTGCAACTTTGGTGAAGAAGTCTGCCTCATCTCTCTATCTCTCTCAGTGCTTGGTCCAAGAAAACTTTTCACAATAATGGAATGTTCTCTATCTGGGCTTTCGTGTAGCCACCAATCACCTGTGCCTATTAAGCACTGAAATGTGGCTAGTGGGTGTGAGAAATGGAATTTTAAATTCTATTTAATTGTTATTAATTCAAAGTGGCCACATGTAATAGTCACTACCATATTCCACAGCACAGGTCCATTTGATGCGTCTTCTAAATTCCAATCTATTTCTTCTCTCTAGAGAGAAGACCACGTGACCTGTGGAGGCCAGTGGCAGCCAGCGCATCGGAAAGAGGCTCAGACAAGGTGAAGTTCCATCGCTGTGGGAAAGTTCTGGCTGCTTCATCTCTGCCTCTAGATCCAATATTAGAGATTTTCAGGAAAAGCCATGGCCTCAACCCCAATCACCAAGAAGATGAGGGAGGAAGCCACCTGTTCCATCTGTCTGCAACTGATAACTGAGCCAGTGAGCATCAGCTGTGGACACAGCTACTGCCACTTGTGCATAGTGAGCTTCTGTGAGATGCAACCATGGCTGGAGATGTTCTCCTGTCCCCAGTGTCGGATGCCATTTAAAATGGCGAGCCTCCGACCCAACAGGCAGCTGGGAAACCTCATTGACGCCATCAAGGACATGGACCAGGAAATGTCATGTGAGGAACATGGAGAGAAGCTCCATCTGTTCTGTGAAGACGAGGGCCAGCTCATCTGCTGGCGCTGTGATCGAGGATTGCAGCACAAAGGGCACACCACAGCTCTGGTGGAAGATGCGTGCCAAGGTTACAAGGTGAGTGGTGGGCCAGAGGACCTTGGCGAGTACCCGGCCTCATGTTGCCCCCCAAGACCTGAAATTATTTAGCCTGAAACCCAAGATTAGGATCCTGAAATATAACTTGCATCATGTCATTCTTCTGAGAAGTAGTTTGTGATGGGTCCTCACTGCACCAAGGCCTGATGGTCCCTCTTGTCCCTATCCACTCTCGATGAACTCCTCCCTGCCCTAGAATGCCACGTGCTCCAATGCACACCTGCGTGTTTTATTGCCTCACACGGTCTGTGTAATCTGAGAAAGCACAATGTGCAAGTCCATGGGATGGTCTGAAAACACGGGGCGCAGACGCACCCCCTTTTAGGTATCCTACAGTCTAGCAGGGCAGACAAACCAGCAGAAAGGCTGCCTGAAGTCCCCTGATTCGGATGGTGGAGAGGAGCACCAAGGGGTGTGGAGTGGTAACTGAGGACTCTTCCCAAAGTGACTCTGGAAGAACACATAAAAAGTAACCAGATATAGAAGTATGGAGCAGAGAGAGGGCATTCCAGACCGAGGGGCCCACTTGCACAAAGGCACAGCTATGAGAGCGTACCTGACTCGCTGTGACCAGGCCAGAGGGTGTGTGCAGGGAAGGCAGGTGATGTCATGGGAAAGGAAGTCAGGGCCCAGAACTTGGCATCCGCTCGGAGTCTAAGCCCTAGCCCAGAGTAGTCCTGGCCACGGGGGGATTTTCGTTTGCACAGTGAAGGATCAGGTTGACATTGAAAAGAACATTCTGGTACTGATACAATGAAAGGAATACCAAAGAGTAAAATTTAGATTATTCCTATAAGAAAGGGGAAAGGGAGCAGTTCCAAGCAAGATTCAGGAAGGGGAATGAGTGGAAGGGTTTGGAAGTGATTGGTCGTGGAGTATGAAATGGAGGGAGAGGTTTTGGGCAACTCCTGTTTATCACTTAAAAGCATATTAAGGAAGGCTGACCTTTGCTATTGTGGAACGAAGGAGGGGGCATTGTCCTGCTGCCTTATTCCTTCTCTGCCCTGGCTAGATTTGAGAAAATTGTCGTCCCCAGTGTGAGCTCCTTATTCCCTCCCCTATGACGTGGAGGTGGTCTTCTATTAAGGTTCTGGGTCCTTCATCAGGACACGTCAATACTGACCACCACTCGGCACATGGCAGCTCTTCCTTAAACTCCATGGAGCAGCTAATTACTGTAATGGGGATATTCCCATTGGAATTATTTTCCCACCAAGTAGTAAAAGGAGCAGCACGGGGTGATGGTTCTAAGCCTTGAGAGTCAGACTGCTTAGTTTGAAATCTTAGTTCTGCTACTTATTAGATGGGTGACTCTGAGCAAAGTTATGTAATGTCTTCATGCCTTGGTTTCCCCGGCTATCAGTGGGGATAATAGTGGTTCCCTTTGTCTCCAACATACATGCTCAGGAAGTTGTTATAAGCTTTAGGGACATTAATACATGTAAAGCTTAGAATAGCACTTGGCACATAGTGAGGGCAATACAGTCTTTTGCTAACAAGTTCTATAGAGCCCTTTCTTGAGAGCACGTGAGAACTGAGTATACCTATTGGCTTTAGGACAAGAGCCGATTCTTTTTCTTTTTAAATCAAGATAAAATTTCTTTTTTTTTTCTAATTAATTAATTACGCTACGTCGGGTCTTGGTTTCAGCGTGCAGGCTCTAGAGTGCACAGGCTTAGTTGCTTAGTTGCCCCGCGGCATGTGGGATCTTAGTTCCACCCACCAGGAATCAAACCTGCGTCCCCTGCATTACAAGGCGGATTCTTAACCTCTGGACCACCAGGGAAGTCCCAGAGCCAATTCTTTCAGTGTTGACCACAAGTAGCAACTTGGTTTAGCTTAAACTTGCTTTCCATGAAAATGTGAGAAACTATTTTGAAAAATAACCTGAAAGCTTCATATGGATACTAACTCATTTTTAAAGGGCTTCATGATACCATTCTTCAAAAGGTCTCCGAGCTCCCCTCCTCCATTAACTGTTTCTAACAACTTCAGCTGGCATCTCAGTCTGTCTTTCCTTCCTGACTCACCATAATACATACAAAGTTCCATGTGTGCCAAACACTCTGATATTGGTTCTGTTTGGGTCAGCACATTACTTCATAAAATCTTTTTAGGTGATTTTTATCTTGTTTTATGTGCAGAATTTCCCTGGCAAGACTGCTGGTGGTGGATAGAGCTCAGGCTCAGGGTCAGCTGGGATCACAGCCCAACCACCCACCAGTTACAGCATCTTGAGCAAGTTATTTATCCCCTTTCTAAGCGTCAGTTTCTGCGGCACAGAAATGATGTTAAAAATCCTACTAACTGCTCAGTGTTGCCAAGGGAATCAAATATGTTACTGCCTATACAGCCTTCAGCATGCTTCCTGGTAAAGTGTAAGGACTCAATACATATTCAATAGTCAGGCTATTCTAATAGTCTTGGAGGGCTGGGATGCTCCTTAGGTGCCCAGTGAAGAATTGTTGAATTGAAAAGACTTTATTCACCCAATTTTTCCTTCAGGAGAAGCTCCAGGAAGCTGTGACCAAATTGAGGCAACTGGAAGAGGAATGTATGAACCTGAAGGTGTTCACGGCAAAGCAAATAACCGAATGGAATGTAAGAGTTTGGGTTTATTGATCTCAAGCTAGTTTCCATCCTAGAGCTTAGGTACAGGGGATGATTGAGCAAAGCATAGTGATGGCTTATTCTCACTAAACCAGACCAAACAGATAAAACCCAAAGAAGAAAGCACATTTGTTTTTATGTCCCTCGTTGTCTAATATCTATGAGAATTTATCTCCAACCCCTTCAACCTTTCAGTAGTAACCGGCTAGGATCCCGAAACCTCAGTTAGGAGAAGCAGAACAGGTGTGCCCATTTACCTAGAGCCATTCTTGACTGGGTTTCAGTTCTTAATATCTCCAAGTACCTTCTGGATTTGAAGGCCTTATTAACCTTATTGCTTTGGCACATGTACCACAGTGCAGGGTATGGCTTTCAGCCTTACAGGTTCAGAAGCCACCCTTTGTGAGCACTAAGAAAACAGAATCACTCCAGGTTGAGGTTCGTATTACTCAAGCTCATTAGACTGAAGAAGGAAATCTATCTGATTTATAAGGAGGGCCAGAGTGCTCCAAGAACCTATACACTTGGCACTGTAGCCTCTAGGGTCTGAAAGACTGTTTCCATGGCTGACCAGCCTCCCCGTGATCAGAGATGCATTCCTTTATGGAAATATTTATGTAATTAATCGGCTTACGGTCAAATCCCACAGGCCAGTGAGCCATTTTGCCTCCTTCAGAGGTTTCTTCCAACCTTCCAACCTCTGCCTAATCCTTTGTGTACAGTTGTTGAACTTGAACTCCCAGAGGACACTCTTGCTTCCCTCATTTCTGGGATCTTGGGCAATGGGGAGGATCTTGATTATAACGAATACATATGGAAACCCTGTCAATGACCCTCTACCACAGCATCACAGTCATCAAAACCCTGCGTAAATTGAAAAAGCAGTCATGGAAACTGCAATTCTTATCTCCCCAAATGAAAGCTGAGTCCGACAAGGTGTACCATTTGGTTTCTTATACGTAAGGATGAGTAGGTGGACCCGAGTTGGTGGATGACTATTTCATAGTTAACTATGACAAATGCCTGATACCCAGACCTCCCGCTGCTGAGAATCATGGACTCTCCTAATAGCCTGGTTGTCTTAAAGTCCAGTCTTGGTGATGTTCATTACAAGCTTTTGCTTCAAGAAATTCCCTCAGACTCAGAGCTACTTTCTTATATCCTGAATAAAAACTCATTTTTATCTTTGTCACTAATAAAGTTTTTAACCTTGGCCCTAGTCCCATGATTAAATTATCTAGCACTCCTGCACCTTGGCTGAAGAAGGATATTAATAAGGTGATAACCTCTCCCACATCTGAGTACCTGCCTTTCGGGCATGACTCTGCAGCGGGCAATTTGGGACGTTCTTCCAGCTCGAATGATTCATGGGAAAATAATGTTATGGTAGCTGAGCAAACGTTCTTTTGTGTATGTATGTGTTAAAATATGCATAATGAAATTTACTGTTTAACTATTTTTATATGCACAGTTCCATTCCTTCTTCCTCGTAACTCCTGGTAACCACTGTCTCTATGAATTTGACTATTCTAGATACCTCATATAAGTGGAATCATAAAATATTTGTTCTTTTTTTTTTTCCTGGCTTATTTTACTTAGCATAATGTCTTCAAGATTCATCCATGCTTTAGCATGTATCAGAATTTCATTCATTTTTAAGGCTGAATAGTATTCCACTATATCTATACACTACATTTTGTTTATCAGTTCATCCAACAGTGGACATTTGGTTGGTTTCCACCTTTCTTGGCTCTAGGAGAAGATAGAAGTTCAGAAACAAAAAATCCAGTCTGACTTTAAGAATCTCCAGAGCTTCCTTCATGAGGAAGAGAAGTCTTACCTATGGAAACTGGAGAAAGAAAAAGAGCAGACTCTGAGGAGACTGAGGGACAATGAGGCCAATCTTGAACAGAAGAGCCGTGAACTCGAGAGCTACATCCTACAACTAGAGCATAAATGTCAGGGCTCAGCCCAAAATCTGCTGCAGGTAAGGCCATGCACTTGGAGAAGGGAAGGAAGGTATCTGTTCCTGAGCTTTTAGGAGGAGAATGGTGAGGAAGCATGGGAAGCTGGGCGAGGCCTGCCTGTTTCACTCAAAAATGGCACATTAGCGTAGGGAATTTAAAGTAATGTTTCTTTTGGATACACAGCAATATTTGCAAGGTGGCCTTCACTAGTCTACAGAGCGGCTTTAGGTGAATCAGAAAATATATAGATATGGTGGGTTCCTTGGCCAAATGGAACCATGGGATAACTTTTGCTACCATTTGCCTCTGTCCCATGTTCACAAAACTCTGACTATCAAACTGTCTCCTGAAATACTCCTCCAGATGACTGGTGGGTGACAAAGTGGGGCAGCCAAAAGAAGGTTATGAGTGATAACCTTCTCCCTGATTTGCTTGTAGAGCCCTCCAGAGCTCTTTCGGGGCCTTCTTTCAGCTGCATAAGGGATCCAGCCCATTAAGACAAACTACGACTGGAGCTGTTTTTTCTATTCCCCACTCATAGAACTGGAGGTCACACTGTAGCCTGAGAATGTAGCATGACTGTCCCACCACCATGTGATACCTGCTGCTACCATCTTAATGGCCCATCACAGGGGCTATGCATAGATTCACCACTACGGACCTTTGCAATGAATGGTCTCTACTGTGGGCTCACTCTGAAGGAAATTAGGTCACTGAAAGCAAGTCTTTCCAGAGGCAGCATGGGCAAAGCTCCTGGCCCTCTATCGTAAGCAGCCCGCAGGTAGATGTGATTGCAGACGCTGCAGCTCTCCACAGAGCACAGCAAGGAAGATAACACGTAAACATTCTGATATGCTGAATATCCCAGGGGGCTGGGATGGAAATCATTCTATCTGGGTATCCATCAATATCTAAGGCCAGGGTTACTCTCTTTACTTCTTTGTAAGGAGTGTTTATAGAGAACAGCCCCACATGCCAAGTCCCATGAAATGCTGATGTTCCCACACTTACATTTTGTCTTTCTCCATAGGATGTGAAAGATACTTTGAGCAGGTGAGTCCTGGACAAATGCAGGAGGGAAGGGGTGTGGGTATATAGAGCTGAATGGAATTTACCACTGAAGAAGTCTTGGTCTCTGCTTATTCTAGGAGTTGGGCTGTGAAGCTAGAACAACCAGAGGCCCCCTCTTTGGACCTTCACACTGTGTGCAATGTTTCTGAGCTTTACTTTGATGTGAAGAAAGTGTTAAGGAGCTATCAAGGTAGGTGAAGAAACCCTAAATGCTACGGACAGAGGGACCTTAAGTGGTAACCAAGTTCACCACCTATCCCTGGGCAGGCTCACAGCCAGAGGGGTCATTCAGATATTTTCAATTGAGCTGTCACCCTCTCCCTTGTTAGTTTGCTCCAGTGCTTAGACAGGGACATGGCATGCTGGTTACCTGTGCAGACCCTTCAAATTCCTGCTCTCTCACTTATCAGCTGTGTCATTCCAGGCAAATAACCTCCTCAGTTTCCCCATCTGAAACATGAAAATATTAATAACTCTCACTTCATTGGGTTGTCGGTAAAATTAAATATGTCAACATGTGTAAAGTGCTTAGCAGTGTCTGGGACATAGTGTTTATTGTTAATATTTTGGTCAATTCTCAGAGCAATGCAAGAAAGGGAGGTGAATATTATGACGGTGGTCCAAATGTTTTAGGGCCTTGGCCCAGATAACACAGATGGTAAATGTTAGAACCACGACAGAAACCAAGTTTTACCAGTTCCAAAGCCTGAGCTTCCTGCTTCTCTGATTCTCTTCATCAGTGCTTGCTATATTTCCACCATCCTTTATCCACAATTACAAGATTCCAAAAGTTCTGATAACTGACAATTTTTTCATAACTTGTTTGGCTGCAAAATTGGACCTAACCTAAAATGATTTGGTGGCTGTATTAATTATCTATTGCTGCAGACAAATTTAGTGGTTTAAAGCAATACACATATATTATCTCAGGTTTTGTGAGATAAAGCTGGGCACAGCTTAGTTGGGTCCTTTGCTTAGGGTCTTACAAGGCTGCAGTTAAGGTGTTAGCCTGGCTGTGTTCTTACCTGGAAGCTAGACTGGGGAGGAATCCTCTCCCAAGCTCACTCAGGTTGTTGGCAGAATTTATTTCTTTATGGTTATGGGACTTAGGGCCCTGGCTTCTTGCTGGCTGTTGGCCAGAGGCTGCCCTCAGCTTCTAGAAGCGAGCCATCAGCTGCTTGCACATGGGCCTCCCAACATGGCCAATTATTTCTTCAGAGTAAGCTCAGGAGAGAGTCCCTAGAGCAAGTCTGCCAGAAAGATGGAGACTTATAAAATGAAATATAGTCACAGGAGTCACATCCCATCATTTTTGCCATAGTCTATTGGTCAGAAGCAATTCACAGGTCCTGCCCACACTCAAAGGGAAGGAACTGCATAAGGGTATGAACACCAAGAGGCAGGATCACGGAAGGCTACCCTTGTGTCTGAGTGACACGGTGGCCGAACCTGAACTGCACTGATATGAGATTATTTAAAGTCTTTATTTATCCCGCTTAGTTTGCATTTATGTTTTACTGCAGAAATATTGATGCATTAGATTACAAGACAATGCCTTAGACCCTTCCAGGGGTGGGCACATAATTTAGAGTGTCTGTATTGTTTGCCTTTATAACATCAAAAATATTCTGAGGGCTTCCCTGGTGGTGCAGTGGTTGAGAGTCTGCCTGCCGATGCAGGGGACACGGGTTCGTGTCCCAGTCCGGGAAGATCCCACATGCCACAGAGCAGCTAGGCCCGTGAGCCATGACTGCTGAGCCTGCGCGTCCGGAGCCTGTGCTCCACAACAGGAGAGGCCACAACAGTGAGAGGCCCGCGTATCGCAAAAAAAAAAAAAAAAATCTGAATTTCAAAACTCATTTGGCCCCAGGGGTTTCAGATAAGATTATGAACCTGTATTCAGTTTCCCCTCAAGTTAACAAGAACAAACAACAATAACAACTACCAAAAAATAGCAACTCTGTATTTGATCCTGTACAGATGCAAGGAAGGACTTTATATAAATTATGTCCAGATTTAACTGAGTTGACTTTTCTACTCTTATCTTTCACAGAAGGCATTACAACATGGTTCAAGTCTATCTGTTTCTAAAATGAGCTCATCTTTTAACTAGATAATTCTTCTTTTTGAAACCCTCATTATTAAAGCTTTTCTTATTAAAAAAGTAATATAAATAAATTGTAATCACTCAAACAGTATAGAGAGATACGAAAAAAAGTTCAAGGTTTCTCTTACCCTTCTGCAGGTAACAAGACCTAGGTCTTTCTCTATGTTTTTACAAACATTTAATACATAGATCGTCTCTTCCTATTCACCCATTGCTTTTTTTTTTTTTTTTTTTTTTTTGCGGTACGCGGGCCTCTCACTGCTGTGGCCTCTCCCGTTGCGGAGCACAGGCTCCGGACGCGCAGGCCCAGCGGCCATGGCTCACGGGCCTAGCCACTCGGCAGCATGTGGGATCTTCCCGGACCTTCCCGGACCGGGGCACGAACCCGTGTCCCCCGCATCGGCAGGCAGACTCTCAACCACTGCACCACCAGGGAAGCCCCCCCATTGCTTTTTAAAGCTGTCTAATATTCCATAGTACATCATAACTATACGTAACCATATTCCTACCGATGGAGCTTCAGGCTGCTTTCAGCACTTGGGTATTATAACACTTGCAGCAATAACTTTCTAGTCCATGTAACCTTATATCCTGGTGCTTTCATTCCTGTAGAGTGTTTACCTAAAGCTGGGATTGTTGCTAATCTTAACGCATGTTACCAGATTACTTGTTCCAATGTAGCAACATGCGCTCTCTCACCAGCACCAATAAAAACGATTCACACATACTGAACACTCTTTCTGTGACAGATGAGAAGAGCTTCACGTGTGTTATCTTGTTTTACACCACAAGCCTCTCTGTAGGTAGCATTTTTTCCTTTATAGATAAGGAAACCCAAACACAGAGAGGTTACGTGACTGTTGTAAATTCCCACAACCAGCAGGTGGTAACTCAGGTAGTATCTCTCTAGAACTCACTCTCTTAATCACTCTGCAATGTGGCAAAAAATGAAAATGATGTATTTTTTAAATCATTGTCTTGTGGAGTGGACGCTGAAGGTATGTGTAGTTGGTTTTTGTTTGTTTGTTACTATTACACACAATACTACTGTGAACTTTCTTGTCCATGCTTTCTTGTGTCCTGTGAATGGTTTCCTCTGGGGATATACCTTGAATTAAAAATGCTGCTGTGTAGGGATGCACATCTAATTTTACTAGATACTACAGATCTTGAAATTGTATCACTTTATACCCTACCATCATCATAAGAGATCCCACTGTTTCACATCTCCCTCACTCTCTGCTTATAATTTTTGGCCATGTGATGGATTTGAAATGGTACCTAATTGTGGACTTAATTTGAGTTTCTCCAATGTCACTAGTGAGGTTGAGCTTCTTTTAGTAAGTCCATTAGCCCTTCAGGCTTCTTCTGTGTTTTAAGAGTTTTTCTTTTGAGTTCTTTTCCTTATTGATTTATGGGAGCTTATTATAGCCAATATCTTCTGTTATGCGTATGGCATTTTACATTTTCATCCTATCTTTTGATGTATAGAGATTCAAACTTAGAGTAGACACATTTGTCTTCAAGGTCTATGACTTTTGTTTCCAAAAAGCTCGGGCATCAACCATCTTTCTAGTGGTATTACCAACCTGTAAACATTTTAATTTCTCAGCTTGGTTTTCCTGGATCATTCAGGGAAGACTAATGAAGCCCGAAACTTTTGTGAGTCAGGCTCATGATAAGGACTGACTGAAGAGAGTTTAATAAAGGGATTATTTACAAAGAGGAGGATTTGGGTGATCATCAAGGAACAGTGAAGCAAACCAGGGCTAGGAATAGGTAGGGAGGCATTACCTCCCCAAGGCTTCGGTAGCAGATGGAGGGAGCTGTAACCAGAGGCAGAGGAATGCAGACCCTCCAAATCATAGCTAGTGGGGAGGGACTTGGGGCACTAAATACTTCTAACTCTATTTCTTTTTGCCCTGTGGTCTCCTCTGGTGCTTCTCATTGGCTTAACCAAATAGCAGTCAGAGGGAAGGGAGCCTGGTTGATGTGTCCATAGGGGTTGGCCTTCCTGGACACAGAGCAGGCTGGAGAAAGGTGGGGAGTGATCTGGAGGGGCAAGTGGAGAACATCCAGCACTGGAAGTGTTTCCTAATGCTTGATTTCCCGTATTGCCACAGCCCAAATGATCAGAGTTTAACCCAGTAACACAGTGGTTTGCTAACTCTCTTGCTGGACCACCCCATTACCACCTTTCATTTTTAAAATTGCATTGCTGGCCAGTATCACACTTTATCTACTTTTTTATGTCTTACTTGACTCTAGTCAGATATTTTTCATGTGTATTAGTCTCTTGTGTGTTACTTTATACTAATCCCTATAGAGCATTACCTGAAGCAAGAAAGAAGAGCTTACACTTAAAAGTCGGGGGACTAGGTGTATGTCCTGAAGCCTGGGTAAAATTTTGGGTTTTCCAATGACAAGCTGTGACATTAGTTGTGTCATTTTCCTTCTCCGATCCTCAGTGTTAATGGTAATTAAGTAGAGATGATGAAGGTCTCATTTCTGCTCCAACATTCCATGATTCTTAGAAGTCCTACAAGGGAGAGGAAGGGCTTTGGAGAGGACAGTAACCATGTTAACTCTGGTTAGTTCTGCTCCTTGGCTTCTCTGAGTGACTAAGATGGTGATGATGTTGAAGATGATGATGATGAGATCATTATTATTACTGCCGTTTACAGGGCACTTACTATACACCAGGAATTTTACTAAGCACTAAGCATGCATTAGCTCCTTCAATCCTCCCCACCATGCTTGGTGACAGATACGATGATTTCCACTTTATATTTAACAGAACTGAGGCTTGGAGAATGATTTGCCTAAGCTCACAACAGCTAGTAAGAGACAATGTGATACATATATACAGTGGAATATTACTCAGCCAGAAAAAAGAACGTCATGATGCCATTTGTGGCAACATGGATAGACCTAGAGATGGTCAGACAGAGAAAGACAAATATCATATGATATCGCTTATATGTGGAATCTAAAAAAATGGTACAAATGAACCTATTTACAAAATAGAAATAGAGTCACAGGCATAGAAAACAAACTTATGGTTACCAGTGGGGCAAGTGGGGGGAGGGATAAATTGGGAGATTGGAATTGACATATTTTCACTACTATATAAAAAATAGATATCTAATAAGGACCTACTGTATAGCACAGGGAACTCTACTCAATACTCTGTAATGACCTATATGGGAAAAGAATCTTAAAAAGAGTGGTTATGTGTATATGTACAACAGATTCACTTTGCTGTACACCTGAAACTAACACAACATTGTAAATCAACTATACTACAATAAAAATAAAAATAAAAAAAGAAACAATGCTTGGATTTGAATGCAGGCTGGTTTTTTTAAAAATAAACTGTGCTCTCAGCTACAAAAATCATGTCTTTTTTTCCCCCCCCAGTCAGCGTGACTCTGGATCCAGATACAGCTTATTACGAACTAATTCTGTCTGAGGATCGGAGACAAGTGACTCGTGGATGCCCCCAGGAGAATCTTGATACTTCTTCTAGGAGATTTAGTGCCTTACCCTGTATCCTGGGCTGTGAAGGCTTCACCTCAGGAAAACATTACTTTGAAGTGGATGTGGGAGAGGGAACTGGGTGGGATTTAGGAGTCTGTATGGAAACTGTGCAGAGGGACACTGTCATGGTGCAGACGCCTCAGTCTGGATTCTGGGCCATCAGACTGTGCAAAAAGAATGGCTATGTAGCGCTTACCTCTCCCCTAACTTCCCTTCAGCTAAGGGAGCAGCCCCTGGTTGTGGGGATATTTCTGGACTTCGAGGCTGGAGTTGTATCCTTTTACAACATGACCACTGGTTCCCACATCTTCACCTTCCCAAAGGCCTCCTTCTCTGACACTCTCCGGCCCTATTTCCAGGTCTATCAATATTCTCCTTTGTTCCTGCCTCCCCCAGATGAGTAAGGGAAGGAGCAAAGTCTCCTCGATTTAACTAGCATAGAGAGTATAATCTGAATCCCACGAGGACAGAAATGTGGTCTCTTTTCTTCGAAGCTATTTCCTTGTACCTAAAACAGTGCTGGGTTTTTAGTGCATACTTAATAAATCTGCATTGAATAAATGACTATAATGACTGTAAAAATACCCCAAGTGGTCAGGCTGAGCTGGGGAAAAGCAAGATAATAGCGATGATTATGCTTTGTCCTCTCCATCCCTCTTCAATGGGTTCAGAGTTTCGATTTCTAAGAGTTCTTGAGTGACCCAGGAGGGTGACTCAGAGACCAGGAGGTCTGACTTCTCCCAGTTTGTTTGGTGCCATTTAAACTCATAGATGGGGGATGAGGAAAAGCTGCAATTGTCTCTGTCAACTGCAGACAAGAGCATGAAAATCAAAAATGCAATGACTCATCTAACCACTGACATGATTAATAATCTGAGCCATCAATAATCTGATGTAGTAAGTGTGGACGGCTACCAGACCTGGTGAGATCTGCTTGAGCAATAACCACCCTCCCACCCCCATCTCAGAAGCCAGTTGCAAGTCCAGGTTGTCACCTGTGCTTCTGACTGACTGGCTATAAATTGGAGGTTCCCATGATCCCCTCTTTGGGTTTGATCATTTGTTAGAATACCTCACAGAACTCTGAGAAACACTTTGTTTACTGGTCTATTATGTAATAAAAGATATGATAAAGGATACAAATAAACAACCAAATGAAAAGATACATAGGATGAGGTCCAGAAAGGTCCCTAGCACAGGAGCGTCTGTCCCCATGGAGTTGGAGTACATCACCCTCCCAGCATGTGGATGTGTTCACCAGTTCTGAAGATCTCCAAACCCTGTACTTTGAGGATTTTTACAGCGGCTTCATCATGTGGGCGTGATCACCATCAATTTAATTTCCAGCCCCTCCTCCGTTCCCAAAGGCTAGGGAGTGAGGCTGAAAGTTCCAAGCAACTAATCATGGCCTGGTCCTTCTGGTGATTAGCCCCCATCCTGATCTATCCAGGAGCTCACCAAGAGTTGCCTCATTAGAACAAGAGACATTCCTATCACCTAGGAAGTTCCAAGGGATTTAGGAGCTCTGTACTAGGAACCAAGGGAAAAGGCCAATGTGTGTGTGTGTGTGTATTCATATATATGTGTGTGTGTATATATATATACATACATATGTTTTATTATTATTTCACAACATGTTAATAAACTTTTGTTTTTCTCTTGTTAGTCTTATTTACAGGTCCCTGGTTGGAGAACCTAAGATGGGTAGAGGAAAATGATTATTTCCTCCCCTATACAAGCAACCCCAATGTTATTGTTCTCTGTTCCCATAGTCCAAGCACACGTACCCACTCTGGAGCCTCAGACCCACTGGATAACTGAGAGACCCCACCTTCGTGCAGGATAAGTGAAGGCACCATCTGGATATTGCTAAGTTCATCTCTACCTCTAGGTGCCCTGCAGTCCTGTCTTATCCAAGTATAGTCCTGCCCAGTGAGGGGTGGCCTCCTTAAAACGGTGTCAGGGCCTAGAGTGCTTTGCTCAGAGAAAATTCTATGTCCTTAAACACTTAAATTGCTGACCAAGAAAAAATGATGATAAACATTCAACTAAAGAAAAATAATTTTAATTAACAAAATAAATCTTTGGAAACCATAGGATAATAAAGATAAAATTACAAGTTTATTGTGGTGCAGGCAAGTTATAGAAAGAAAAATAAGCCCTATTTGTCCTTATGGGTTAAAAATTCTACTATATTAGATAAACCATTGGCTGCTCTAATAAAGATTTTTTAAAAAGGAGAATACAGAAAAAATGGAAACATGAAAAAGCATATACTGGAGATAATTTTGAGAACAATTTGAAGAATTATGTGCATATAAAACTGAAAATCTTGACTAAGTGACTTTTTAAAAAAGAAACTAAAAGACCTAACTGACTGAAGAAGGGGAAAGAAAATCTAAACAGACTAATATATACAAATGAAATTCAGAAAGTTACAGAATTCCAATTAAATAAGGGGAAAAAAGCAAAACAAATAAAGAGCACATGGATTTATCGCTGCATTTTTTTTTTTAAGGATAGCAACTCATTGTACTGCTGAAGACTCAATTAAGTTCTATAGAATAGAAAACCCAAAAGGATAGTGGCTGAAACAAGTTCATGTCTCTCTCATGTAAAGGCCGTCCAGATGGGGAAGTGTAGGAAATCCAGAAAGTCCAGGGCTGGTATGGCAACTCCACAAAATCGCCGAGCCTTCCAGCAACCCTCCCACCATCCCTAGGTTCCAAGACAGCTTCTAAAGCTCCAGGCGTCGCACCTTCATTCCAAGAGGTAAGATGGAGAAAGAGATTCAGAAGTTGAGCAAAGGGCACGTATCCAAGAGTTATCTTTTACTACCTACCCTGCAACCTTCTGCTTGCATCCCACTAGCCAGAACTTAGTCCAAAGCCACCTTCCACCTTGGTGAGGCAGTACATGAACTCGGGCAGCTTAGCTCTACATTGTTAGAATCCTGAGCAAGGTTCATCAGAGAGCTACAGGGAGTGTGGCTCCCACACCCACCCAGACCAATGTCTCACGTGTCCAGTCTGGAAAACCCTCAGCATCTGGTACATATTTAGCCAGGAAACAAAAGAAGAGGGGCCCTCTGGTGCCCTTTCCTCATACCTTTTTGACACCCCCTCCCCCTGTAATTGCATGAAGGGTCAGGTACGTGGTACTACGGCAGAGGACCAGAGACACAGGCAGGGAACAGCAGGAATGACAGGATAGCAACTGAAGGAGGCAGAGGAACATAAACAGTCCAACTGACACAGAAAGAGACTCTTCTCAGGTAAAGTCCAAACTCCTCATAACGGCCTAGAAGGCAAATTCTGGCCCCGCAGACCTTGCCTTCCTGGATTAATAACCTGTTCGTCCCACTTCTCATTTTCCATATACAGTGGCCTTCTCTTCGGTCCTAGACAATGCCAAGGTCATTCTGGTCCAAGAGCCTTTGAGCATAATGTGTTCTAGGTTGAGAGTAGTCTTCCCCAGCTTCTTCTGAAGCCGGGTGAGCTCGTTTTGATCACCAGCTTGGCAGACACGAAGTGTTAGGGAATTAACATCCCAGGAGTAAAACGTCAACTGAAGAGGGAATGGTGTGGATGGATAAAACTTCAACCAAATGAGCTTCAGACGAACAATTCTGAGACGCCATCTACACAGTGCCTCCGAGGACATCCAGGGAAATGAAAGCAAGTGCTCAAAGTGGGAACCAGGTCAGGAATGCACCTGTGACTGCCTTTCCACCTTCCCTGTGCTAGCACCCTGCATTCTGGGGTCACACCTTAGTTACCACCTTCACCCACAACCAGATCTGAGCTCAACTTTGCAGAGACAGCAACCACTGCTACCTCCCCCACTCTTGTCCTCTTTCTATATATAAATTATGTATAGAAAGATATAGATATTAAATGATTAAATTAACAGATATTTATTACGGAATACTGTAAAATACAACAAATTATACTCTCAGTTCTAAGGAATGAACACTCCTACTGTGGTGGTAATCACCTTCCCCATACATATATTTGATCTTGCATGTTTTTCTCAGTGTGAGCATTCCCCCATGGCATTACACATGCTAATATGTGGTTTTAAATGACTGTAGCGATCTCATAATAGCACATACGCAATTATAACTTATGTTGTTTCTTGCAATTATAACTTATGTTCAAATGAACATCATTGTATGTAAGTAGGTTTTCACTTCTCTTGTTTACCTCAGGGTGGGTTTTTGAAAGAAAGTTTCCGAGTTACAGTATATGGACATTTATTTAAAATACTATTGATATATTCTTATCTCCCTCTTTCCCTTTCCCCCACTTCCCCTACCCACCTCTTCTGTTTCCATAACTCTCACTGTCATCAGCCAACCCCTCCAGGAGCTGGGAACCTGGACGGGCTTTGATAATGTGGAAAACTATGGGCTGGTGAGTCAGATGGGAGAAACTTTCTGAGGAGAATGGAGAATGCTAAAGTTTGCAGGTGAAAACATCACTGGAGCCTAGACCACTTCATTAATCCCCACTTCTGTTTCCTAACGTAGGAAAGGGAGGGATATAAAAATGAAAAAAAAAAAAAAAAGGAGGGGGGAGGGGAGAGAACAAGGAGCTGGATACATCTGGGATTTGCTGCAGAAGCGTGGTTCCTTCTCCTGAAGGACAGGCAAAGCTGTCACTGTCCTAGAAGACTAATTCATGGCCATTCACTAAGCACGTGACAAACCACCCCAAAACTTATTTGCTTAAAACTACTACCACTTATTCACTTACAATTCTGTAGGTCAGCTGGTGGTTCTTGTAGTCAGGGTTGAATCCTGCTGGTTCTTCTCCTGTGTCTCTATCAGCTGGAGAGTCAGCTGGCATTGGGTAATATAGGATGGCCTCACCTGCAAGTCTGGCAGTTGGTAGGCTGTTGACTGGGTGCTTCATTCTCCAGCAGACGAGCTCAGTCTCTTTCGTAACATGGGTGTTTCAGGGCTGTGGGAGAACCAAGACGGGGACAAGCTGCAATGTGCCAGGCTCTTTTCAAGCATCTTCTCAGGTCACATTTGTTAGATCACTCGGCTAAGCCCAGATTCAAGGGAGAGATATAAACTCCACAGCCTCTCACTGTTGTGGTACACGGGCCTCTCACTGTTGTGGCCTCTCCCGTTGCGGAGCACAGGCTCCGGACGCGCAGGCTTAGCGGCCATGGCTCACGGGCCCAGCCGCTCCGCGGCACGTGGGATCTTCCCGGACCGGGGCACGAACCTGTGTCCCCTGCATCGGCAGGCGGACTCTCAACCACTGCGCCACCAGGGAAGCCCTAAACTCCACCTCTTGATGAGAGGAGCGACAATGTCACATTGTAATGAGCAATAAGATGAGATAAATTTAGGGCAATTTTTGCAATCTATCATAAGACATTTGCTGCATACAGTCTCAAAATCTAAATTAAGGAGGGACAGAGATGCAGAGGCATTCTGAGTGCCTAGTCCTCAGTAGATTCGGCACCAGTTTCTCCCCAAAGACAAGGTCTATTAGAGCTCTCAGCACCATCAATAATTCCACTTTCTTCATCCTCACAAACAGCCTCAGTGCCTGGGATTCTGTGCGAATGGCTCCTCACATCCTCCTCTCTCAGCCTTGCCTCTCACACCCACTCACACCAACAGCCTGAAGTGGAGTCTGTGCACCGGTTCTCTGGGACTCGCAGTGAGGGAACGGCGTTATCAGGCAGCTGGGATTGGAAATGCAGGAAGCTCTGCACATAGCTCTTCACCCCTAAAAAGTCCCTTCTTCACCAGGAATAAGGAAGACAGCGATCGTTGTTCAAGAAGGTGCTTGATTAGCATATTAATTAGCTTGTGGCCAAGAGACTATGCTAATCTCCTTGAGTTTATCCTGATGCCCCTGGACAAGTAAAAATGATCCAATCTGTCATATTCCAGGAACTGGGTGTCCGCTCATCACTCCAATTCATGGGCAGGACCTCTAGTCTTCAGATCTCCTCCTTCCCACATCTTGTATCTCAGCCATCAGTCTCCCTGTGTCTCTTTTCTCTAGGTTCTCTGAGGATGGGACTGGTTGTTTTCCTTTTTTCAATCTGATGCCACTCCTCAGTTCCTGTTTTAGTTCTCTGGACATCCTGCGATCCATTAAAGATATTAGGTAAAGTTTAAAAATAAAAATTTCCACCTTTCTATGGTCCAGCCAGATCTATGTCCAATTTCTGATTTTACTTACAAGTAGACAAGTGACACCACCCCTCTGTACCTCCCTCCGCTTCCTCAAGTGTAATAGTGGGGCAATAACCCCAGTTTGTAGTGAGAAGTGCTCAGGCACAAAGCACTAGGTATACAACACAACAAACAAGATTCTTGTTAATTTATATAATGATTGCAAAACACTTTTATACTTCTGACCTGCTGAAGAGGAATTCTTGGGCCACCATCACTTAATCTTTGTAGAATCCTGGGTAATTCAGTTCTTTCTCTGGGCCTACCATTACTCCAGAAAAATATTAACTCAGTTTTAGAGATCGAGGAAGAAACAACATTCACTACTGTGAGGGGCTCCGCCCAGATCAGTAGTTCTCAACCCTTGAAGCAAATTCCGGTACCTAGAGAGCTTTTAAATAACTTACTGAAGACTGGCCTGCTCCAGACAAATTAAAAAGGGATGTGGACGTGAGGGAGGGGAGCTCAGGCAGAGGACTGACATCCTGCGGTTCTGTAGGTGGCACTGAAGGGTCTTCTCCCCCAGGGGTGTCGCTGGGTGTCACTTCTTTGGCCTTACCCAGGCCCACCACACCCCAGACGAACCACAAGATAACTTCAGCAACACACCCCCCCTCCATGGGGCACTCTCACTTCTCTCCAGATGCGGGTCCTGGGGGCGTTCAAGGTCCCACCCCCACCAGGGCAGGCGGCAGTATCCCTAGGGGCTGCCCTTGGGCTGCGGCCTCCCTTCCACATTGGCAGGCAGGTGGCAGGTGGGACGGGCAGCCGCAGGTTGGAGTCGAGGCCTCCGCCCATTCCGCGAACTGGCGGAAGCTGGTCTACGAGGAATTGCCAATCAGAGGGGCCCTTTCTATTCAACCGTGGCCTCATTTTAACTGAATTACATTTGCAACCACCCTATTTCCAAATAAGGTTACATTCTGAAGCAATGGGGGTTATGATTTAAACATAACTTTTGGGGGAAGGGGGGGTGGGTGGGACATAATTCAACCTACACATTGTCTAGGCTTGCACACTTGGACCTTGCCCTCTCTCTGAAGAGTCAACAAATAAGTGAATGAGCCTTTAAAAAACAGAAACGTGCAGAAGTGTGGCAGAGAGTGGCTGTTTACCAAACCTATATCATCTTCCTAGGCACTGGAATGAGAATATTTCACCTACTTCCTTACATCTCCCTTTGTAGTTAGGAGTTCCCATGTGGAAAGGGAAGCATCGTGACCCTCCAGAGAGTTTAGAGGAAGAAGTGATAAATTAGTTCAAAGAGAGCACCCACAAATTATAAAACGTACTCCCCTTTCTTCTCACATTTTTGCATTGACCCTGGCTCAGTATAGATTTGACGTAAACGCGTACTACCCTTAAGATATTATTGGCCTTTAATAGCTGGTAAGGAGCTGCTGTGGGGTGGAGTTCAGAGAGCACGTTAGTTCCTACAGAATTTTCCCTGGCAGAAACAAAAACTAAATGACTTCCAAGGCTTTTCTAGCTCTAGGAATTCCACAGTTCTTTGAAAAGCTGGAATTGTCCTACAATTGCCGTATAATTGAAAAATAAGAACAGGAAGAGTGGATGATCTTATTCATATTTTATAAAGGATCATCAATCCTCAATTAAAACAATGTGGTATTAGTGCTTAACAGAAAGACTGACACAACAGAATAGAAAGTCTAGAAATAGACAAGTAATACAGGAATTTTGTATCCAATAAAGAAAGCATTTCTAATCACTAGTAGTAAAGATGGACTTTTTTAATAGTGCTGAGACAACTAGATAGCCATTTGTAAAACACCAGAAGGAACTTCAAGTAGATCAAAGATTGAAACATAAAAGCGAAACAAAACAAAAAGCCAGAAGTACTTAAAGAAAATATAGACGAATTCCTTTGATTCTTGAAGTGGGAAAGACCTTTCTAAATATTACTCAAAATCCAAAAGCCATGAAAGAAAATATTGGTAAATTCAATTACATAAAAATAAAAAGGCTGCATAACAAATTTTATCATAATCAAAGTTAAACGACAAATGACTATCTGAAAAAAGTATTTTGCAACTCTTATTATGAAGGGCTAATCTCGCTAATATATAGAGATTCTGAAAGCAGAATAAACAGTTGTTCCTTTACACAATATCATGTACCCGTGGAAAGAATAAGGAAGACCTCTGTTTCCTGTTGTAGACACAGCTCCAGGACATACTGCTAAGCGAACAATGGTAGAGAACATGTATATATTATCCTATGAAAGGGTGAGAAAGAAGAGTATATATATTTTTCATTTCTATTTGCATAAAGAAACAGTGGAAGGGGAACTGTGTCGTCAGGGACAGTGGTGTGGAACTTGACTTCTGGGTACATATTTTTTCATACGGTTTTGATTTTTGAATCAAATTATTTATTAAAAAATAAAATTAAAAAAGATGTGACCCATGATAGTTGAAATCTAGTAATATTTTTGTCTTTAGGTATTTGTATTTGTTTTTAAGCTTCCATTGTTATACTTTTACCATGCCCTGTTATTTGCAATGTTACTTTTCACCCTTTGAAATAGATATCCCACTTCTGGCGACCTACTTTTGAGACACACTTGAAAATGATTATGTAATTGTTGTTAACTAAATTTTTAAGAATCCAGCAATAGGTGACTGGTGAAATAAACTATGTAGCATATCACAATGGAATACTGTGGCCTTTGCAAGGCCGCCATTTTACTATTTAGGAGTTAGTACTTCTTTTTTAATCCAGTTCTGTTTTTATATGCAGAATAATTATATTTTTCTACATGGGCACATTGTTGAAGAGCTGAAAAATATGTTATGGCATAAAGAAAAGAAGAAATTCCCTTTTCCTCCCCCAATATTCCCCGTTTTTACTGTGGCCACATAGGATACAATAAAACTTGTAGCATCAGGATGAGAGGGTTCTCCCCTCATCTTATTTTTTTTCTTTTTTCTTTTACGTGTTATTATTGTACATCTTACACAGCAAAACCCCTTATTTATGGTTTATATCTTCTTAAGGAGGCCCCACTGGTCTTCAATTGTTCTGGCAGTCATATAACCTTCTGTTCTTTTCTCTGTCCCTCTCTTTTTTCTTTTCTTTCAAAAAACCCCATAGGCAGGGATAATCAAACCAATTATTAGTAAAGAATATAATTTCTGTGTCACCATTCTTACCTACTGGTCTCAGAAGATCTCTCAGACAATCAGTGAGATTGATTTCAAGTCTGTCTCCTCTTACGTGCATGTTAGAGCTGATATAATTCTGTGGTCAGAACATCAAAACGATAGACTCCTGGAATTGTAAAAGACCATAAGGAGCATGTTAACTACTGGGTTTCAGACTTCTTTGACTGTAACCCCAATAAGATATGCTTTCTTCTTTATGACCCAGAACGTACACGCATATGCCTAACGACATAAGTGTCTGAAGCCTAAATTCCAGGAAGCCGTATTTATCCTTACAATGTGCACACTCTAATATGTTCTAGTCTATTCTATTCCTAACAGGCCATGAAAAACACTATTCTAATCTAACCGTTTTGCTTTTAAATAAGCAAATGGAAGCACAAAGAGGTAGAATAATGATTCAGATTTATGTATGTATGATAAATGATCAGGGCCAGGTCTCCTCTGTCCTTTCCCCTTTCTTTA